CGTGTCTGCTCTTGACTCAGCTACTACTGCCTTCCTCCCCGTTCCTGCCAGCGACACCACTGCTCCACAGATAGTCACTCACCTGACATGGTCATCTCTGGGATGAGGATATTTTCTGCTGATAACTCCCATCCACCCCAACCAAGCATAATCTAAATCTTTGATCAGTGCATAAATATAATTAAGTCTGTCAAATTCTTAAGGGTTAGAAATGACAAAACTACAATTTTAGGGCTGCAGGCATGATCAAGTAACTTACAAGATCTGACAATTAAGTTCGCGAAGTTGTTGCAATGATGTTGCTAATCTTTTTAGATATATATTCATTATGAATTTGTACCAACTGGACAAACAGCTAAACAACTTTATTATTTGGAAGTGCTGAAAAGCCTGCGTGAAAAAGTTAATATGACCTGACCTTTTCACCAACAATTCATGGCTCTTGCAGCATGATAACATACCAGCTCACACAGTACTGTCTGTGAGTTTTTAGCCAGAAAAAAATAACTGTATTGGAACACCCTCCCTACTCACCTGATTGGCCCCCAATTACTTCTTTCTTTACCCGAAGATAAAGGAAATATTGAAAGGAAGACATTTTGATGACATTCAGGACATGAAGGGTAATCTGACAACAGCTCTGATAGCCATTCCAGAAAAAGAGTTGCAAAATTGCTTTGAAGGGTGGACTAGGTGCTGGTGTTGGTGCATAGCTTCCCAAGGGGAGTACTTCAGAGGTGACCATAGTGATATTCAACAATGAGATATGTAGCATTTTTTCTAGGGTGCGTTCATGAACTTAACTGTCTGACCTTGTACATCAAGACGAGAAGCCCTATTCAAAGTTCAGAAAATGTTTCAGTTTCCTTCAAATCCCAGACTTTTTAATGATACCAAGAGGCTGGTACAATATATATATATTTTTTTAAGCTGAGCCATCCTGCCACCTGTTGGCAGCTCAGCTCAGGCTGGGACTCGAAACGCTGTTGCTCAGAGCTCGCACTCTTCAGCGAGCTCTTAACCAACTGAGCCACTCAGCTGGCCCTGTAATTATTGTTCTCATACCATAAACATCTTTGATTTGCCTGCATAGAAAATAAATCACCATAAGAACTATCCTCTCCCCCTACTTCCATGTCTTTCGAGACATCAAGCATAGAAAATGGAAAAAAAAATCTGACTGTGTCCATCCTTGGTTTTCCAGCGGGAAGATGACCATAGGCAGAGACAAGCCATGTCACCTGGACCACTGGAGATAGTTCTCAGACACACCTAGAAGGAACCTGCACAGGTGAGTCACAAAAAATGCATTTGTCCCCCAGTCTTTTCAGACACCTCTTCTCCCACCCCACCACCTCACCCCCTAAAATTAATGTAAACAAGTGGGAATATGGTTTGTAAACAAAAAATACTATGTGTTGTTATGATACAGTTAACCCTTGAACAATACGGATTTTAACTGCACGGATCCACTTATACGTAGATTTTTTTCAATAAACATTGGAAAAAAATTTGGAACAATTCAAAAAAACTCACAGAAGAACTGCATAGCCTGGAAATATTTTTTTTAAAAATGAGAAAAAAGTTAAGTATTTATCCATGAATGCATAAAATATATGTATGTATTTCTCTTCCTTATGATTTTAATAACACTTTCTTTTCTCTAGCTTACTTAATTGTAAGAATACAGTATTTAATACATACAACATAAAATGTGTTAATTGACTATGTTATCTGTAAGGCTTCTGGTCAACAGTACACTTTTAGTAGTTAAGTTTCTGGGGAGTCAAAAGTTACACGTGGATTTTCAACTAAGTGGGGAAGTCAGTGTCCCTAACCTGTGTTGTTCAAGGGTTAACTGTAAAAATATGACACTATAGTTGGATCATTGGTGCTACCGTTTTCCTAAAAGTAGCAACATAACAAAAAGTTGTAGGGGTTTAGAAATCACTTTTTGTGGCAGCATCTTGAAAGTCAAAACATTTCTTTCTAAAAGACTGATGTACATAAAGCCAGGAAATATTTGCAAATATCAATGTGTGTTCCCACAACAAGCATTTTATTAGGCATCGATTAGGAGAACCAAATACATCCAAAATATTATCAATGATTAATTTAAATGAGGCAAGTGTACCCAAGATAAAGTGTGCAAACATACTGTCAGGCTTTTAAAGGAGGCAGATGTTCAAATTTCTTGCTAGAATTCTATAAGCAAAGCCACGATTTACCTCAGAGCAAGGACTTATATATAATTACCAACAACTTTTTTGCACTGTGAGTAATCTTTCTCTGTGTTGTCCAGTTAATGTAGCAAGTCTAACTCATATCACATATTAGATGAGAATAACAATCCCCAAATCTGTGAAATCTAAAATGGGAGAGAACAGCATTTTAATCATTTTAATAATGGTTCTGCTGCCGAATGTACAACATAAACTCCAATAAGCACACGTTTTCCAAAAATATTCAGGGAGGAGGTAAGGACACAGGAAAAGCCTACGTAATAACCAATTATCCAAAAAAGGAAATGAAGTATTCCTCATCTGCAAAACTTTGTTTATACAACTAACTCTGCAACCTGCTGGGTCTTTTTTAAAAGGGAGTAAGTTATAATTAGAATAATAAAAGGGTAGTTCATACACATCAATTTATGCACATGCATAAATTCTGTCCACACAGAATGTATTAAAAATCTGAAAACCCTGCCACTGCTACATAAATTTAAATTTGGGAGTGGACTGGAGTACCTGTTACTAGCTGCCATTGACTCAATGCTCCCATGGGTCTTAATGCTTTGGTGGACAGAAACTGTTCTCAGTGCAGATTCAGAACTCAGTTCTAACAGCGGCTCCTCAAAGAAGTCTACACCCTCCCACAAGTTCGCAGATCGCTCCTTCTCAGCTACAAGAACGCAGGGCACACCAGGCTTCCCTTTCATAACATCTCCTAAACTGCAATTAAGCAGTTAATTACCTAAGTCTACATGAGTACACACAAGTATATAGATACATATCCTTAGTTGTTTAATATCAGTCTCCCCCTACTAATATGTAAAAGCTTTATGAGGAAAGTTCCTATGTTCTGTTCCTTGAGTTGCATAAACACTGAGTAAATATATGTTAAATGAATAAATGACCATTTTCACCTTCATTCACCTTCATCAAGAGCTATTACGGAGTAAGCCTGGAAAACTGAGGTATTTCTGAAAGCGTGGCAAAAACAATTCAACTTTTATCCTAGACCACCAGTGCCGATGTCACTCTGTAAGGTAGCCACAGTCACCCCCTTGTTCCTTGCTAAAGTTCTTGTGCAGCCCCCTTCAAGGGCACCTGGGCAGCCTATAGCTCAGTAACCACAGTCCAGTCAGCTGTGACCAGAGTGGGGACATCAGGGGAGATAAAGTTAATTTGTGTCATGGCCTTGGATAGCAACTGTCTGGACAAAGGCAGAAAGTGTGGCTATCCTGGGTCAAGATCCAGAAACTAATTCATTTAACATGCAATCTAATAACTAAATTTAGGATGCACAAAAGTGTGTACAATGATTACTATCATACACATTTTTTTCAGGTAGAATAACCGAAGTTCAGATTTACCTCTTTCTCTATGTATCTCCTCTATTATCCTCTTTCATGTTTGCTACTTTAAAAAAAAAAAAGTGAAAGGTGGCAAAGATCAAATGTCATGGTCTAAATACAAAATCACTAACTGGGTGCTCTGTTCTAATATTGACTTTTCACCCTGCAAACCTATTTTCTCATTCTATTTTTCATCAGAACCCTGCTGCTCCCAAATACAAGTATAATAGACAAAGGCATGAAAATGTTGCTTCAAACCACAGAAATTAGCTGAAGTTCCCATTTGGACCACATCCAGTTTTCTGCCATCACAAAACTCTTATTCAATCCTGTTTAGGAGAAGCAGATTACATAGAGAAAGGAACAAAACTTTCCTTTTATCTACTTTTTAATTTATTATGTCTGAGTATTTTTGGAAAACGTTATTTTGGTTGACTTCGGGTGGTTATGTATGTCTCAATTACCTATAAAAGTAACTTCACAAATTTTTAAGTTAATAAAATTATAAGCATAGTATATTCAAAACCTAAATTATTTTCATTTAGAAAAAGAAAATCTTGCTAAGTAATTTATTTCTCTGTGGCTTGGGTTCCAAGGAGTAGACTTATTATCATGGAGGGGAAAAAATCTTGGAGGGAGAAAAAGATAGTAAATTCTGCAAACAAACAAATAAATAAATGTTTTGTAATTTGAAATATTGCTATGTTTGATGATTACTATCATACACATGTTCATTTCATACTTTTGGAATAAAAAAAAAGAAAATTCAAGGTTAGAAAGAAGTGTTTATTCTATGAGCAAGTGTCCTAAATGTGTCATCTGCACAGTTTATCAGTTTATAATTAGGAGAACTTATCAAAAGGTGCTTCTACAAAATAATGCAATAGAGCTAAGATTCTGGTGTCAGTAGATTTATATGGGGGTAAAAATAGGGACTAACTCACTTTTTCCAACTATGGGAACATTAGAAAGAAAAGCAATTATGTTCTATAATAAATGAGCCATTCTTAGCTGAGAAATCACAGCATCGTCCTGTTTCATGTACTTAATTTGCGCATTTTCTATTCTTTGCTCCAAGCTGTTTCTTTCATCTGACAAGTTCAAGAAAATTAAAATTGTGCTGTTGAGGACATATGAGGGGTTTAATCTTGAAAGAAGTGAACTACAAAGATATATTATTGTAGTACTTTGATATAAAGTCAGAAAGATACTGAGCTTTAAAAAGCGTAGTCTTGTTGTCCTTTAAAACGAAGTCTATTTTGGGGAGGAAGACACATTTTGAATGACTCAGCAATGCAAGTCGCTGAAGCCAACATACATACCTTCGATGAGATTTGATGTGAGCTGTTACGATAGACCTAACACCTGAATATTATCAATAACCCATGCTCCAAGAAACCAAGGTGAGAATCAACAAGTGGGACCATTTTGTTATATCCTGCATTTATTTAAGCAAACCGAACATGTAGAGATAGGAAATTAAAGCATTATAATGTCTTACAAATACAGAAAGAAGACAGAATAATAATACCCTGGAGACAGTGCATCTGAAAACGCAGTTCTGTCATAGGAGAACATTTGCAGGGACCACACTGATGCCATGGCCAACACATCCATCCATCCTTCTCGTTACATCATTCAAGTACTTTTAATAGATAAATCAGTGATTTGCTTTTAAACGAATAATAATACTCATGATTATGGTAGCCTTGAAGGGTTTGTGAGTGACTATACTATACATATGTGATGCTGAGCTGCATTTGTCATTTCAATGCCACTGTACATTATGCGGAGGGAAATGATGTCTTATTACACAATTACTGTGACATCCACTGAAATGTGAACTAGTTTGCATAGGTTAGTCCTTTGGGCAGCACGATGTTGCTCTAGTCCACCAAGGCTTAAAGATTCACAGTGTAGAGGAAAGAAACATGAATTAAAGCATTTCTACTAAAATATATTTTAATAGCTGGTATTAACAATTTGCATAACAAGGCCAAATTATAGGAATAACATTGTGTTGCTCTGTAAGTCCCTTCATTGGAAAGACATTGTTTCCTTCAAAACCGTAAGCTCTCAAAGCTAGTAAAATCTTGCAAATTCATCATCGACCACAATTCTACATATTTTGAAGCAAACAGAAGCCAAACTGCACAATGACTCAATTTTGCATTTTTATCACAGGTCAAAGACCAACAGTTCCACACCATGCCTATAACACATTTGTTGTTTCTAAATGCTGAGCGTTCATTGTGTGGACACTGAAGAATGACACAGATTTCTCTTTTCCTTTAAGCAAATCTTTCTTAATAGCAACTGGATTACAAAGAAGTATATACTACGCAAACTGGATACCATATATCAAACACAAAAAGCAGTGGAACTCCCATGAATACACTAAAGCAGTATGGACATTTGGGGAGGAAATTTGCCCTGGTGATCCTTCCAGGATTGTGGATTGCAGAAGTTTAAACATCATGGAATGATGGCCACAGAAGCATCATCCAATGTCTTGATTTTTTTGATTATCAATCATTGGCAGCTGCCTGGACAGGACCCTAATGGGCATGGAATATTTCAGAAGGAGACTTTCAGTTTAGCATTCACGTGCAGAACTTTTTACTTAACTAAAGCGTTCTCATCTCCATGTCACATTACCCAAAACAAGCACACTCCAGCCACTTTTGGATTATCAGAAGCAAAGAGCTAAACTATCATGAATGTATGAAGTGAATTTCATCTGTGTCATGAATTCAGTCTCATAACATAATTCTTCTATCTCACAATAGGTGTTTTAGATCTCAAACCTAAAGTTAATGTGTATGCATCTTAACTAGATATACATCCACAAAGAACCTTTCAGAAATAGATGGAAGAAGTCAGTGTTCTCTAAAGTTCTAAACCTTTAGAGGTAAAAGACAAGCAGCTATCACCTTTCATATCTGTCAGGGGCATCACATTTCCCCACCACAAAAATACCAATTGTGTATAATAAAATATTACTATAGAATAGGCAGAAGCTTGCTTGCTTGCTTTTCATTCCAAGACCAAGTGGATAAACCAGGGTAATCAAAAAGGCACCTATTTTTTTAATATATCTATATTATAATTTTGGTATAAACTATAACCACTTCCTATAGGGATGTGTTATTAAAGGATCACACACATTTTCTTTATCTTTTCATTAAAAACATTCCACTGGAGATGGATAAGCCCGGAAAAAAGGATGCATCTCCTGAACTTCCACTGCTTTAGAAAAGTCAACTTCCCGCCCCCTAGAGAGTTGTCAAGCTCAACAGGGAGAGGATAAGGAAAGAAAGACTGGCAAAACTGTGAAAACTGCATCTTCATCTTCAAGCAATGAACCCAGGGGCAAGAGGGGGGCTGCTCTAGTCTCATCCATCTTCATACAAGGTGTTCTTGGGAATTGTGCTTGCAAATTCCTGTGTGGTGTGTGCAGGTGGGGGGAGGCCTGAGAAGAGACTGGGACAGCTGACAACCAGATAAATATTTCAGCCCGGGCTACACTGCGCATGTGTAAACAATAACAAGAAGACACAAAGGCATGGTGTCACCACAGGTTAGAGATAGAAAGCTTTCCCAGAGACCAACAATTAGTAAAAACGTTTACTACAAAAACTTACAACAAAAGCACTATATTCTGTTGCTATGCTTTTCTCCAGAGAGATATGATCCACATACAGTTTTGTTTTGGGAACCCTGCAAACCATATCAAACTGCTCCTTGTGCTTTTATCAGACTGGAAAACACCACAATTTTAGAAAATCAGGTGCATGCTCTCTATAAAGTCTACTTGAACTTGATTTTTAAAACACGTGTGTTTTAAACCCTTCGTTAGCTGTCAGCATTGTGTATGAGATATCTGTTGTGAAATTGAAGGTGGGGAGGGGGCGAGTGGAAAGTGCAGATGTTGTTCAAGGATGTAGTCTTGAAAACGATGCTGTGACAATAGCACTTTGATATTCTACATATATGTTTCCTAGATTTCTGCTGAGATGCTTAATATCCTGACGAGCTTTGGTAACAATGACAAAACTCTCAAGTTAGAGTGTCAGGAGCATGTGACACCTTGTTCTCCCTCGATCTTTCTTGTAAAATAACTGCCCTCTAGTTAAATTCTGATCAGATCTGAATTCCTAAGAGCTGGAAGCAGAAACTTCTTGGTAGGCAAAGCTTCAACTTTTAGAAGAATTATTCCCCAAATAACTATGACTATTACATTCAGTGAATCTGATTTTGAAATCAGTGAATGAGAGAAAACAATGAAACATCAAGCTGCTACTTTATGGTAACTTTCCCCATTATAATCATTTTAAGTTAGTTTCCTTTCAGCTTCCTATAAATGTGCTATTTATCAAAAATTGTACCTGTCCTACATTTAGTCTGCAAATTTAATCAACAACTACTCCTTTTTATAATCACGAGAAGAGGTCTGTCTGGGTGAAACATAAATATTTACTTAAAATATAATAAAATTGAGCAAGCTTATTTCCCTCATTTTAACGCACAGGAACTTCTGCAAGAATACTGCAAGTTCGGCTTGTGTTTGTAGGTGTGTGTACAAGACATTAAAACGGATATGGAGTTTAATCAATTTAATCATGACTGGTCATTTCAATGATAGAAATTTAGTCAAGCTCATTATTTGGAAATCTGTAAAGCCCCTAAAAAAAATCTCTAGCAATTTGCCTGAATTTTTCTTAAATTTTTTTTTAATTTTCAATTACAGTTGACATACTGAATTTTTCTCCTTTCAATTTTATGTCAGTGTCATGTAAATGCAACTTGCATGTAATTAATGTTATTTTATTTACTCTTTTAGCTGGATAGAACGAAATTATGAATTCTCGAAAGTATTTGCTAGCCTTTCAATGGTGTAAATGAATTAACATCTGCCTTTGGACTAGTAAAGATTTCAATAAGAAATATTTTACAGGATATTTTGTTCATTACTTTGAATGTATCATATATGGTAGCTATACCCAAGACCTATACATTTTAATACATTTTTGTAACTTTTTCAGTTTCTTTCCAATTATGAGTCAGATTCTACATAAATGCTACCCTGTTGCAGGCCCCAATAAATGACAATCAGAAAAACAAAGTTGCTGATGGACATTAATCGCTTAGGTGATCTTGACTGTGGACTCCAGGTGAAACTCCATGACCCATCCACAATGGCTGCAGTCATGGCTAGGAAACCAGCAGGGAACTGCAAGGTCACTCCTCTGAAAATCAAAATCTGACCATTTCTTTTTTTAGTGAACAACCTGTTGGGCCTGTACCTAAAATCCCTGATGATATCCCTATCTCACCCCTTGAATGCAATTTTGAAAATAAAAAGCAGAAAGTGGGAAGTCTTTCCTGTGACAGGTGTCAGCGGCTAGGTCTCCATTCCAGAATTGAATATCATTTCCCAGAATAAGAAACTAGATCATCTCTGTTTGTGAAGTTGGTAACTTGTTGTTTGCTGGTTTTCTCCAGCACACTCCATGTCCCACTTTGTCACCGGCTCATGTTAAGTTTTCTTAACTTTTAAATCAACAGAGGCATTAAGTTAATGAAAGCTGTTCAATAAACACCTAAATCACTTATTTACTAGAGTAGACATCTATATCCTAAGGTGTAAATCCTTCAAAACTAGAGTGCAATGCAGCAGGAGAATCTTAAGCAACTTTTCAAAATATGTTTTTCTGATGAGCTGGCAACTAGAGGAAAGGCTTTTTAGGTATCAGCCACACTTTTTGCTGCAGTAACAGGAATGGGCGGTGCAGCTGCTTATGTTACACAAGCTTGAACCTACACGGCATGCAACAGGGTAAAGGCTATTAGGGAAATAATAGAGATGACCTTAAATTGGCCCTTTGCAGAGTAGCTGTGAAGTTATTTGGTCCGGTCATTCTGTGGAGCCAAGCATACACTTGGTTCCATAGAATGTAAATGGGGATAGGTACACATGAGAAATAAATAGAACCACATCAGCCAAGGAAACAAAAACAAAAAAATTTCTTTGTTCAGTAGAAATTTCTAAGTCCCTAAGGCCACCAGTCAATATAATCTTAACCAAACTGTCATTCTGCCACTACTTACATTTATCATATTAGGCATTTTCCACTGGAATTGGAAATTGCCTAATGACTCCAAAGCTAAATGGTTTTTAAATTATTGGCTGTGTTACTGAATTGAGAGAATTGGCTCCTGGTGATTCCAAAGTGACAGCTAAGAAGTTTCAGATACTTCTTACATTTACGTGACAATCAACATTTCTATTAAAGTCTACAAAAATACATTTCCCAGAAGGGTTCAATAGCCAGTCAAAAGAAACCAATAACACAATTAGCAGCACCAGGTCTCCAGACCTAATTATTTTGTTTATAGGAATTCCTGAAAATGCTGTTGTTTTCAGCCCAGAAGTCACTCCTTCTTCCTGGTACCTGGGTGGCTAATTGTCAAAGTAAGGATAGATTATTGGAAAATAACTGCCAAGTTGTCTTAAAAGTATCTTCTATCTTTTAAAAAGATTAGGTTTAGTGTACATTAGAATAAAGCTGAAAGGGCAAGGAGAAACAATTAATTAACAAACTCAATGTAATTTGCTGGAAGCATCCCAGTTTTCCCTGTTCTCTGCACGGTGCCATACATCCAGCCGTCATCGATGGGTTGCACGTTGACGATGTAGTCACCGTCCCTGAAGGAGACCTCATCTTCGTCCTGGGCGCTGTAATCATACATGGCTCGGTAGGTCCTCTGAGAAAGGAAAGACACCACGATGAATACCAACATAGTCACGGCCACAAATGCCAATCACAACAAACCAACTGACACATAAAGTAAACTATTCAGAATGTTTCCAAGTACATTTATTTCTGGAGATCTCTCAACCAGAGCCTAGTGTCCTCCTTATGCTCATCTCAAGTTTACTAGGCTAGCAAAAAGCATAATACTGGGGGGCCAGAACAGGGACAGTGCAAGCCACTAAAGACAATAGCTAGTCCATCAAAAAGTAAGCTTTGAAACAGTAAGGCCCATATCCCCCCAGCCTCAGCTAAACCCAGAGACCTCAGATGACACAGACTGTCCCCTAGTCCACAGTCTTCAGAGAACAAAACCTGTCACAGTGGCAGACAGATCCAAGTCATTGTCAAATCACTGCAACTGGTCCCCTGGCAGAGGCAATGAACTTTTCTTAAACAGATACCAAGAATTTTTGTTTCCTCTTAAAAATGCATAAAACAAATAAATAAAAGGAAAAATCAATAATATATTCATTTTATTGGTTTTTGTATCATAGTGGTAGAAATCTAGCATATAAGCATTCTAAATATTAAGGTACATGTAACTAAATCTTTGTTATAATGAGGAAAATGTTTGCTTCCTGGCTCCAAACTATATTACAAAGCTATATGTCATCAAAACAGTATGGTATGGGCATAAAAACAGATACATAAATCAAAATGAAACAAAATAGAGAGGCCAGAAATAAACCTATGCACATACGGTCAATTAATTTATGACAAAGGAGCCAAGAATATACAATGGGGAAAGGACAATCTCTCCAATAAATGGTGTTGGGAACACTGGACAGCCACATGCAAAAGGATGAAACTGGGCCACTATTTTATGCTATACACAAAAATTAACTCAAAAGGGATTAAAGACTTGAATGTAAGACCTGAAACCATAAGACTCCTAGAAAAAAACACAGGCGGTAAGCTCCTTGACACAGGTAGGTCTTGGAAATGACTGTTTGGATTCGACACCAAAAGCAAAAATAAACAAATAGGACTACATCAAACTAAAAAGCTTCTTCACAGTAAAGGAAACCATCGACAAAATGAAAAGGCAGCCTACCTCATGGGAGAAAATATTTGCAAATCATATATCTGACAACGAGTTAATATCCAAAATATAAATTGACTTTTACTATACTTGTTTTCATTTAAGGCCAAAAGTTTAGCTAATATGTAACATCAGAACATCTCAAAATCAAGTGAATTCATAAACGGAGGAAACTGGCTGAGACACAAGAATTTGAGAGCGAGTAAAGATAACTTTCAAGTGGCGGGGGTAGGGGTCCGGGAGGGCATGTGTTCCCAAGTTCTCCAGCGAAGGCCAGTGACTATGTCAGGAGCTTGGTGAAGGATGAGATGTCACATTTGACTAAATGACCTCAAACACTGCTTCCAAACGTTACATTTAATGAACGAATCAATACTTCAAGATTTCCAGTAGGAGGATTCAAAGACATGTTGGATGTGTCATTTAGATTTTAGTGGTCATTTTGATCAAGGTCAAGATTAACTAGTTAATATGACCAAATATTTGTGCTTTCCAGGGTGAATTTGAAAATAATTGGCTAAACCCATCATGAAGTAACAATCAGGATATTGTACTGGTAGATTCTTTGTGTTTTACTGTTTACATGTTTTCACATCATACCTTCCCTTCTCAATGGGTTATAAGATTTTTGCCCCCTTCAAAAGGGTTATCCTAATAGCAGCACATCATTTATCCTTTATATGAAAATGTACATGTCCACTGATAGGATAAAGAAGACGTGGTGTGTATTTATATATATATATATACATATATATATATACACACACACACACACACATATACATGCATATATATGTATACATACAATGAAATATTACTCAGCCATAAAAAAGAATGAAATTGTGCCACTTGCAACAACACACATGGGCCTAGAGGGTATTATGCTAAGTGAAATAAGTCAGACAGAGAAAGATAAAGACAGTACAATTTTGTTTATATGTGGAATCTAAAAATAAACGAACAAGCAAAACAGAAGCAGACTCACAAAGAACAAATGGATGGCTGTTTTTTGGGGGGTGGGGAATGGACGGGGAATGGATGAAAAAGAAAAAGGGTAATGCGAGGCACACATTTCCAGTTATCAAATAAATAAGTCAAAGGATGTAATGGACAGCACAGGGAATAGAATCAACAATATTGTAATAACTGTGTATGGTGACAGATGGGTATTAGGCTTACTGTGGTAACCACAATGTAAGTTATGAAAAATGTGAAATCACTATGTTGTACCTGAAACTAATAGAATATTGTATATCCATTACACATTCATAAATAGTATTTTAAAATATACAATAAATAAAAATCATTTCAGCGTTGAAAAAAAGAGGAAGTGTTCAATATTCAATTCAATTCTATTCCATATGTATTTACAGTATTTTGGAGATGACACGAGAAGATCAGGGAAGAAGGAATACTTCAAATCGACACTTACTAGGTTTGGGGAATGCTGCATTGACCTCATGGATGACAGGCTGGTCTGGTGCATGTACCCATAGCCTTGGGAATGGCTTTGCTGGTAGGCCCCGGGAAGCACAGGTGCTGCACATCAAACACACACATCAATTCCTTCAAGCAAGTCTCAAAACACCCCTCCCAACCCTTCCAGTGACTTTGTGCTCGGCTAGAAGCTCCTGAAACAAAATGCCATTTTCAGTGTCATGTGAAATTCGGGTAGTGATGTTATAAACAATCTCTAGATTAGTATACATTTCAGTAATTAAGGACCTATAGAGAATCAGTTTAACATGCAGTTAAAAATATATTAGAAACATTGGTATTACTCTATTGCAGATGCGATGGTAAAAGAACACAAATCCAAAAAATAAATTTCCCATAATCCCTTAACAAAATCATGTTTTCACTTAGCTATGTGATCCTCTTAGGCATTTTTTAAAAAACATATTTAAAGGAATTTAATTGGATTGTCAAACCAATGACAGAGGGTACATGCTTTCACTGGATACTTCTCATATAATGGGATGCTCTGACTATTTCAAAACATACACCTGAATGTTACCTGTATGAAGATGGTAAACATGGCATATATTTAGCAATGTGTGTTTGTTTAGTAGTTCCTAATAAGTCTACACCCTTAAAATAAGCTTTCACTTAGAATATATGGATTTTCCATTTAATTTTGGCTGTAAGTCAAGACTAAATCAGTTAGCTGCATATGTTCTAAAAGCCTGAGAAACCAAACCACTTATAGAATTTCGTAAACATTGTCCTTCTACATCAAAAAAATGTAGTATCAAAATAGTATTCACTTAGTTTGTGCTGTTCTCACCACTGATGTTGACATTCAAAAGACATTGTTCCAGTTTTGAAGAACACTGTATTCTAAAGAAACCAACACAGATGCTAGAAGAAGAAAAAAACTCCACAAAATCAGTAGACATATACTTGTGTGTTTCTCTGTAAGTATCTTTAAGTATTGGTAATCAGAAGCATAGGCTTTAAATGAGGATATTCTAGTAGCATATCCTTCATTGTGCTTTGAATTAATTAAATGCTACATTAGTAAACCTTGTATAATACATGTGCTATGAAAATCCATAACAGGTTGCCATTTTTGTTCAACTAGGTCGAGTATATAGAGTAATTGTCATGGGTTGATTTACTCAGGACAGTTTTTATAATAAAAGAATATAGCAGATGTAATTCTTGGATATTACAAATAATTAATGTTTTATAGGTGGCACATTCATTCTAATGATATATGAGAACATCAAACTTTAAAGATTAATCAGAAAATTACAAATCATTACTATGGTCTCCAGTTAATAAAGATGCTAAGTTGAATGGGATTTTTTTTTACTAGTTCTTGAATTAAGTCATATTACAATGTTGTTACAAACTGTGTGATTTGAAGTCTAGATGTGGCATCAAAGAGAAATTGCCAAGATCTTTACTTGGATTTGTAGCACATTATAAAATTAGTAAAACAGTAAACGTCAGGCGACCTGTTAGCTCAGATGGTTAAAGCACAGGCTCATAACACCAAGGTTGCCGGTTCGATTCCCACATGGGCCAAGCAGTCTGCACCTTCCATAACTAGATTGAAGACAACTACTTGACTTGGAGCTGATAGGCCCTGGAAAAACACACTGTTCCCCAATGAAATTTCTCAAACAAACAAACAAACAAACAAAAAACCGTAAACATCAAATACTTCAGAAAAGTAGCACTTTCTAACATTATCAACTCAATTTAAATACTTAATGTCAAGAGAGATGAAGGATATTGTCATATTTCACTCAGGAAGAAAAAATACTGAAATCCCTATAGCTATCTAGGCCCACTTACTTAGCTGAGTAAAAGAGCCTTTTCTATGTATTGGAAACTTGAAGCATTGACCATTTATTCACTCCCTGGACTCTCAGCATATATTTCTTGAGTTCATGTGTGCACGGGACTTACTACATTGCCTGTCACTTAGTAAACCTCTATAAATGTTAACAATTATCATTTTCCACTATCGTTTTCAAATTATCGTTTTCAAAGCATGCCAGGCATAAAAGGAATGACAAGAACAACTGCCCTCCTAGAGCAGTGATGGCCCTAGACATCTGCCCTTTGCCCAATTAAAGAAATGGCTCTGGATACTTACAGCATTTCCAGTTAAACACATTAGTCAATGATTCCAACTGCATATTCCAGATTGGCACTGCTGAACTGGTTTGTATCCATTAAACACATCATTAATTAATTATTAATCTATTTGTAAATATTAAGATAAATAAATAACCCTGAAAACTTACTTAAAATAAAAATTAAACTTTTAATCCTTTGTTACACTATTTAATTATGACCTTTAAATTTTGGTGTACAGAGTTAAGCACAACCATCTTAAAATATTTTGGGGGAAAAATAACAGGAAAAGACACAAAGAAAAATATTTTAAATATGCTGTAATATGTTTACATTTACACAGTTTGTACATCATAATCACAATAAACATTTATTTCTCACCGTTCTTGAGACTGAGAGTCCAAAATTAAGGCATCAGCAGGTTTGATGTCTGGTGAGATCCCACTTCCTGATTCAAATTACTCTGTCTTTACAGGGCAGAAGGGGGTGACGGAGCTCTCTGGGGTCTCTTTTATAAGTGCACTAAATCTCATTCACGGGGGCTCTACCGCCATGGCCTTGTCATCACCCAAAAGCACCCCCCCCAATACCATCACACTGAGGGTTAAGATTTCAACATGTAGGTTCGCAGGTGGGGACACAAGCATTCAGTCTATAGCAACTGGATAATTATAGACATAACACAGAGAAAATAATTTTGGGGGTTTTCTCATAATCTCATTTATTTAAAAATCCCGAATAAGGAGAAAAATCCTCACAAGTTTTCCAATAAAGAATATAGGATGCAATAAAATTACTGGCGTGTTTTCTAATACTTGTTTATTGTTTTATCATTTAATGCATGTCAAAGAACTTTATGAGGTTTTTTTTATGGGAGGGTAGGACACAGAATTCTATTTAGACAATCACAGGGGAATTTCTAAACTGAATGAAGATACAAATATAAAAGAGAAAGTATGATGAAGATGCTGCTGGTTTTCAACAAAATATTAAATAATGAGCTATATCCTAACTAGATCTCATCTGGGCCATGAGCAAGGTGGTTGAGTGGTAATAAAATAGGCTACGATGTGGACCTTTTTGATCAAATAGCTTTTGTACATGCCATCAAGAGTTCCACGTCAGAACCCCAAGTCCCCACGGCATCTGATTCTCTTCACAAACCACAGGTGGGTACTAAGTCCACAACATTTATGCCTAATACAACAACAAGATGCTATTTGCTGGGGGGGGGGAACAGCCATGGTCATTGGTTACACATTGCTTTTCATGCTACAATGGCATAGTTGACTCTTTTAGGGAGGGTGCAGTTCATAGTGGCCCATGCAGGAATCGAACTGGCAACCTTGGTGTTATCAGCACCATGGTCTAACCAACTGAGCTAACCAGTCACCCCTAACAAGATGCTGTTTTTTAATCTGAGAGAATTCCTAGCACTACAGAAAATTATTTTCCTTCCCTGCAGAAAACAGAAACAAGTGAGATTGCCTCCAGGCGTTAGTTTGTTTGTTTTAATGATAAGCTGTGAATAAACAGCTTCCTAAGAAACAGGCTTGCTACATAATAAACCATCAATAAACAGACTTTCACATAAAAATGAAATGATCTACAACTAAGCTAAAACTAACAAGTTTTAAAAACATGCATACTCATCAGTAGGATAGAAAATAAGTGCTTAACCCTCCGTTGGGCACAACTGATCACACAGATTCATTGCACACAAAGATGCCGCTATGAAATACGTCTTTCTGTACTAAGTCACAAACACGACTGGTGATAGGTTATGGTTCAGGGGGAAGATATGGAAGCAATGAGTCACGATACTTAAGTTAACTGTTAGATATTTGAAAATGTGTGTGCAATGAATCTGTTGTGCCCGATGGAGGGTTAAATGTTGGAAATCATAAATAAAAATAAAAGCAGTCATTACTGTTTCATATGTTAAATTTGAGCTCAGCTACGGGCCATGAATGGTGGGAAAGAAAGAGACAGAAAGAACCAGTTACTTGCAGTGGTTTCCACCCTGGCTGCATATGAAATTCACCTGGGATCTTCTAAAATCACGTTCTGTCCAGGTCCCAGACCAATTAAATCAGAATCTTGGGGGTGGGAATGGGAGGGACTGGACACTTTATTATTTATATATCCCAAGTCAATCAAATGGTCAGCCATAGCGATGAACCACTGAGCTACTGTCAGCCTCCTCCTCCCCCACCTGACAAATTTAGGGGCACATGTGGCCCTATTTATGCTATTCCCAAATTTCTTCTCTCCCCCTGAAATGGTGAATGTTTGTGTTGACACCCCCCATTCATCCGTTGAAACCTACCCTTCAACGTGATGGTATTTGGAGGGTGGGGCCTTTGGGAGGTGATGGGTTATTGGGGTGGAGCCCTCATGAGTCTGATGAGTGGCCTTATGAGAATATGTGGGGGAGCTAGCTAGCTCTCTTTGGGTCAGTTGAGGACGACACAAGGAGAAGACAGTCATCAGCAACTGGACGAGGGGCCTCACCTTTGACTTCCAGCCTCCAGAGCTGCGAGGAATACATTTCCATTGTTTATAATCAATGCAGTCTATGGTATTTTTACAGCAGCTGGAACAGGCTAATACATACCCCTGCCTCAGTATTTGTGGAGGAAAATGTCTACACCTGGGACTCAAGAAGCAACCCGGGATTATGAGAAGAAATGTGAGTCCAGAGGAAACCCATTGGAGAATAATTCCGAGGTTGACATGCAACAGTCCTGGTAAGACAGGCACTAGGAGGCCCCACCAAGGGGGAGCTGGCTAATGGAAGCTGACCATACTTCCCAGGGACAGACCAGAGCAAAACCCAGTCACCATCTGAGAGGAAAGGGGGACCGTGTGGCCAAAAAACGCCTCTGAAAATTAAAAAATTATCTCTCAAGCCGATGCTAGGTTCCTAACAATTTCCTCCTTCTAGA